AAAGGCATAAAAATGTCATAGTATAGTAAGGCGGAAAAAGGCATAAAAATGTCATAGTATAGTAAGGCGGAAAAAGGCATAAAAATGTCATAGTATAGTAAGGCGGAAAAAGGCATAAAAATGTCATAGTATAGTAAGGCGGAAAAAGGCATAAAAATGTCATAGTATAGTAAGGCGGAAAAAGGCATAAAAATGTCATAGTATAGTAAGGCGGAAAAAGGCATAAAAATGTCATAGTATAGTAAGGCGGAAAAAGGCATAAAAATGTCATAGTATAGTAAGGCGGAAAAAGGCATAAAAATGTCATAGTATAGTAAGGCGGAAAAAGGCATAAAAATGTCATAGTATAGTAAGGCGGAAAAAGGCATAAAAATGTCATAGTATAGTAAGGCGGAAAAAGGCATAAAAATGTCATAGTATAGTAAGGCGGAAAAAGGCATAAAAATGTCATAGTATAGTAAGGCGGAAAAAGGCATAAAAATGTCATAGTATAGTAAGGCGGAAAAAGGCATAAAAATGTCATAGTATAGTAAGGCGGAAAAAGGCATAAAAATGTCATAGTATAGTAAGGCGGAAAAAGGCATAAAAATGTCATAGTATAGTAAGGCGGAAAAAGGCATAAAAATGTCATAGTATAGTAAGGCGGAAAAAGGCATAAAAATGTCATAGTATAGTAAGGCGGAAAAAGGCATAAAAATGTCATAGTATAGTAAGGCGGAAAAAGGCATAAAAATGTCATAGTATAGTAAGGCGGAAAAAGGCATAAAAATGTCATAGTATAGTAAGGCGGAAAAAGGCATAAAAATGTCATAGTATAGTAAGGCGGAAAAAGGCATAAAAATGTCATAGTATAGTAAGGCGGAAAAAGGCATAAAAATGTCATAGTATAGTAAGGCGGAAAAAGGCATAAAAATGTCATAGTATAGTAAGGCGGAAAAAGGCATAAAAATGTCATAGTATAGTAAGGCGGAAAAAGGCATAAAAATGTCATAGTATAGTAAGGCGGAAAAAGGCATAAAAATGTCATAGTATAGTAAGGCGGAAAAAGGCATAAAAATGTCATAGTATAGTAAGGCGGAAAAAGGCATAAAAATGTCATAGTATAGTAAGGCGGAAAAAGGCATAAAAATGTCATAGTATAGTAAGGCGGAAAAAGGCATAAAAATGTCATAGTATAGTAAGGCGGAAAAAGGCATAAAAATGTCATAGTATAGTAAGGCGGAAAAAGGCATAAAAATGTCATAGTATAGTAAGGCGGAAAAAGGCATAAAAATGTCATAGTATAGTAAGGCGGAAAAAGGCATAAAAATGTCATAGTATAGTAAGGCGGAAAAAGGCATAAAAATGTCATAGTATAGTAAGGCGGAAAAAGGCATAAAAATGTCATAGTATAGTAAGGCGGAAAAAGGCATAAAAATGTCATAGTATAGTAAGGCGGAAAAAGGCATAAAAATGTCATAGTATAGTAAGGCGGAAAAAGGCATAAAAATGTCATAGTATAGTAAGGCGGAAAAAGGCATAAAAATGTCATAGTATAGTAAGGCGGAAAAAGGCATAAAAATGTCATAGTATAGTAAGGCGGAAAAAGGCATAAAAATGTCATAGTATAGTAAGGCGGAAAAAGGCATAAAAATGTCATAGTATAGTAAGGCATAAAAAGTCACAAAAATCATAAAAAAGTCATAGTATAGTAAGGCGGAAAAAGGCATAAAAATGTCAAACTGGGGACCTCTGTCTATGAGTTGTTACCAGCAGAGCTAAATTTGTGTACAAGAACTACTTAGTTTGGAAACCACTGGACTGAACTACTGACCCGTATATAAAGTATTTAAAACTCCACTGTGACCAACTACAACAGTAAAATGCTAATAATGTCCAGAGATATTGTTCACATGCACAGAGAATACACCTTCATCAGATGGTTAGCTCAGCCTGTGCCTGACTCCTGATGTGAACATATCTGCTGTGGCAGGAGTCTGTTTGGCCTTAGCAGGGGTGAATTAGAGTTCAAGCAGGCAGAGAGAGAGATTTGACTCAGAGCAGACTCTTTTATCTTCATTGGTTAACGTGTGTGTTTGACTGAGGGTGTGTCAGTATGTGTGTGTCTGTGTGTGTTGCAATTTCTCTCCTGATAATGAATGAGGGGTCAGTACATGAAATGAAGTTATAAAAGCTGTCAGCTCTAGACTCATCTTTATTCCAGCAGAGTCCAGCAGACATGTGTTCAGCCCCGGGCTGGTAATTACACATTTCTCCTTCTCCTTCTCTCTCTCTCTCTCCTCTCCTCTCCTCTCCTCTCCTCTCCTCTCCATTATATGTGTTACTCTCTCACCATCTAACCATTCATTTTTACTTACCAGTACTAAATTTACTGATCCTTCACTGCAGCTTGACTCGATTCATGTCCACCCCTTGGCACCACAGTCAGCCTCTCACAGAGACTAGCAGGACAAATTCCTCTTTGGTCAGGGCTATTGCAGCTGGAGATTTTGCTGTTGATGCCACAGATGGGGGAGGGGGGGTGTCTTTGTAACCATTTGTGCAATGACTTGACAAACGCACCTCTGCGGTTTTCCTCATTCGTGATCTCTCATTTTGTAATTTACCCTGTGTGTTTTGTTATTTTCCCCTCCAACTAACTTTTCTCTGTCTGTCAGATGTATGCTCTATTCTTGCAACATCCTGTTCCCCTGCCTTTGCTTGTTGTCTTGGCTTAAATCAGCATTAGGACTGTAACTCCCCCGCATCTAAAACTGCAATAAGTCTCAAGCCACTGTACATAAAGTAGAGCCCGTATTGATCCTGAGTAAAGATTCTGCTTCATTGTTGCACTGTATCTTATTGGGTTTGGGAATTCTGCCTAAACCAGGAAATCCTACTTCATCTCTCTGGTTACAGGCCTCTGAGAATCTGCTGAGATTAGTTTCATAACAGTGTCCAATCTGTTTTTCACAGCACTGAACTGAATGTTTCTCTGAGGGGAGAAATCTATTACATTTGCTGCACCACATCAAAAATGATTCGACCTCAAATCCTAGGTCAACACAATGCAGCTGAAAAAAAAAAAGTTTGGGACTTCCTTTTCCCAAACTGCATCGCAGTTTGACCCATATATGCCAAAGAGGAGGCAGTGGCTCCTAATTCAACAGATTTAGATCTGCAAATGGAAGTGCTAGACACTGAATACTACTCAGTCCTGCAAAAGTAAGCCCATGATTCATTTGTTGCATTTATGGTTTAAGTATTTTGCTTTCCCGGAGCTAAATGTGGGCTGTTCCAGGAACAAATGAGGTGGAGAGGCGATGAGGTCACACAGTAGCCCTCAGGGCTGTGATCGGGTTAGCAATGAAGGTGACACATCCACACACAGACACTGGGAGCTCTGCCAGTTACTGATTGACAATCCAGCCACCTTTTACAGCTGGACCCAGTGGTGTGAACACGACACCAGCCGGCTGTCTTCTATGGCAGATGCTGGGAAATGCAGGCAAACTGGGCGTCATCTGTCCTGTGTATACTCGAGACTAGAGCAAGTGTCAGGGGTAAAGGCTTTTTTCATACCTGTACTTTGTACTTTTACTGCTTCGGAGGGTGACAATTTTCATATCTATGTATACATATATACACATATATATACGTATATACATCCATCTATATTTGGATGTAGGATATTCTGGCATCAGTGCCCGTATTCATTCATCAAAGGCTTTAAAATTTACCAGAACAATCATTTCTCCAGGATATAATTCAAATATCTCTGCAACAGGCAATTTCCTCAACCACCCATCCACAATCCCCATGCGTATTTGTGTGTGTTAGTGTGTGTGCTAGTGTCTGTCCTCCCACCCTCATCCTTCACTTAACCAGTGAGTGATCTCTGTCTCCATTATCATACGGGATGAAAGACAACTTCATACAGAATAACACATGAAGAGAGGCCATTAGTCTACGGGTCTACGGGCTTCAGACCAGAGGAGGAAGGAGGATATGGTTTAATGGACGCCTTTCCTCCAGAGCTGTGGAAGAAAAGACAGGTCTGTCTGTCTGTGTGTCTATCTGTCTGTCTGTGTGTCTTCTGGGTTCATTCAATATCAGATCACTGGTGGCCAGCTTAGAAGGCAAGTGTATTGATTTGAATTTATATTGGAAAAGAATAAAGTCAAGCTGGGAAATAACATTTAGCGGTTTCATAGCTGGCATTTTGCTGGAAAAATAAATATATAAACTGGCATCTGAGCAGCTGAAAAAACTGTTGTGTGGACAAATATCTGAGACAGAGAACTGAGACATAAAGGCTGAATGCTGAAGGGATGTTTTTATTGCCTGGGTGCTGTTTCTTTGAACATGAATTCCTTTGTGATATAGCTTCTGAATCAGAGTAATTGCAGGCTAATTGGGAAGCTGTCAGAGGGAGAGTGACTTGACTTTTAATGGTAACCACTCTCTTATCCCCCCTTTTTCTTCTTTCACACTTGTTTCTGATAGATCTCAAAAGGGAACATTTCTTTCTCTTTCTCTCTATTTTCTTATTTTGCTACTTCTCCTCTCCTCCTGTGCTCAGATTGAATGCCATATTTTGAGAGCAGAACCTTGTTTATCCATGCCAGTGTTTGACAAACCTTTCCCATTTCCATTATAAAGCTCTATGCACTGGCAAGGAAACCAAGGCCAAGCTCTAGCATTTGCTCTCAAGGTCACCTCTACTTTCTGAGCAAACACATGACTTAATACAACAGCTCAAAGGTCTGTGTGTTGTTGACATGCTCCTATAACGCTGCAACACACAGATACTGTTGCTTTAGTTTGCAGATTTTCAGCTTCAGACAGGCTTATTTCTATCTGATCTAGATTCCTCTGTGATTCAAATCTCACAGCATTGAAACTGACGAAAAATGTCTTACCATGGCTACTCAGCTCACATCAAACCTCCTTCCTAGGGTGAACATGACACATAAAATAGATATCTCAGCATAGATATGTTCATATGTTCTGTGTCCTACCTCTGTGTGTGGCATAGAGTGCGGCGAAGGTGACGACAAAGAAGGTGGTAGAATATTTCCCAGCATTCACCAGGTGAGGGAAGGCCCTCTTGGTGTCACGGTAACGCCTCAGGCATTGGATGAAGCGGAACCAGGCGGGCAGGCATTGGATGATGGCACGCAGACCGTAAGAGTAGCTGTGGCACATGAAGTCATCAGCGCCTGGGATAGGAAGGAAAAGTAAAGACAATGTTATAATCTCATGCACTTGTTCCCTTTCTCTCCCTGTTATCCACCGTAATGCTCTCCTCTCAGAAAAGCTCATCATTATGAGAGTCACATGGCGACCTCTGTGTGGCCAAACATTTCCCTTCCATTAACTCCATGTTAATTGGTTGCATAGAAGCCGAGGTGTCACTGTTGGTGGAGTCGATGGACAGCAATTAAAACCTTGTTCATGTCACATATCAGGAAACTGTCTGGCACACTGTCAACTTAGTCTTTAGTCATATTTACGACCGAAAGATGTGAGTCTTAATCTCCATATTATGATGTGATGTGGGTGAAGAATAAATAATATGATTACCATCAAACATAAAAACAAATTTGAGGTTTATATTCAAATATCTAGTGTCTATACCCATAAAGACTACTGTCCATAAAAGAAGGTCTCTGAGAGGCTAAGTGAGCTCTCAACTGTGACACGTTCATACAAGTCTATTCTGCCGTCCAGATGCGTTTTATACTGTTTATTAAACAACAAAAGGTACTGACCAGCAATAATTGTTGTTCTGGAATATTTAATGTAACAATACAGACTAAATACACATTTTGGCTCCTACAATACCATCTGTCCCCTCTGTAATATTTGCATTTGAGGATTTTTCATCTTTTTTTTTTTTTTTTTTTGTGGTTAAGTGTCGCAATTTACTATATGTTTTCCGTGTTACCACTTTCCACATGTATCATCTGTCTATATCTCTCTCAGTTGGTAAATTTTCTTGAAATGTTACATCTACATTTTTCATTTCAACAAACCCCTCAGAACAGGTGTGAACTTGCATACAGTTGTTGTTTGTGTATGTATGTAGATACAAGAGAGAACAATTTTCCAGTGAAGAAAAAAAATTAAACAGTATTTAGTCAATACTACAAATGTTGCAGATAATAAGTCTAGAAAGAATCCAGCTCTTCTTTTTGAACCTTAGAAGCTAACATCTACACCTTATGTTTTTGTGTTTAAAAAAAGTAAAAATGTCGGCATTATTGTGGTTACATTATATTGTTAATGCATGATGAGGTACTATACTTAGAAATCCAAGGTTCATTACTTTTAGATTTTAAACAACAGTGTATTTTCAGTTGATGATTTGTAACAGGGACAGATGGAAACATGAGACAGAGGTGCAGAGGACATAAAGTTCAAGATTAATGAGATTCTGACCATGGATTTAATATCTCACTTTTAAAGTTGGGCAGTAGGCCTTTGCTGTTGCTCCACTGCAACTCAAAAATGTAGAAGCAGATGAGATACTCCAGGTCCATTAAAACAACCACCAGAGAGTTGAGCTGATCAGCCAGCCAGAAGTCTGCAAACTCCACGCGGTGAAACGGCGCTGTGAACACACGGAACTGGAAACAGAAAAAAGAGAGGAAGGTAAGAAGGTGAAAAAAGGGAATGCAAAGGCAGGCAATTGGCTGGTTTGAGTTAAGACTTAATTTTGTAATAATATTCACTCTAATCTCACTGAGCATAAATTTGAAAACTCAATAAAATTGAGAGGAGTGTATAAAAGCATCTGAAAAATGTTTGGTGCATTTCAGAAACACCTTGGCTGACCTCTCTGCTACAACATTTACCTCAGATGTTACAGTAAATTCTGATAGTGTGTATATGCCTTCAACACTGAGACTGAATTAATCAACAATTAATTAGTGTGTAATTGTCGCAGTACTTCAGTAGAGAAGTGCAAAGCAGGGAACAACCTCTATTAATGATCAGTGACACACAAAGGGATAAAGCCTCTAGACTACCTTATCAGCACACCACAGGACACCCTAATGAGTCACGCTTTGTGTCCGTGTGCATGTATTTGTTTATTTGTGTGTCACTGCTCACTGGTGTACAACACAAGCACATAAAACGACCTGGCAGTGTTTTGTGGCACATGCTGGCTTCTATGGGCATGTTATTTAGGATATGACTTTTGGCAGGAGCTCAGTTATTGACCACGCTTTGTAAAATGATACAACACTGCTCAACTCTTTCCATTTACCCCCCAGGCCACATGTGACATTCAGCAGCGACTGTATGCCTCCCTCCGTCTACACTCTCGGCCGCAAAACCCACACACACACACTTTCTCTCCACTGCAAATGCCAAAGAGTAATGATCTTCCTTTTTTTAACACACATCAGCTCATTACATATTTCTCTTAACCTGTCAATCAAAGCCTGTATTGATCGAGTGGCCATCTCACCTATATCCGCTCTGTGGATGTCTCAAGGCTAAGCCTACTGCAGTCATGTGATTAGGTTTTCATTTCTTGAGCAAACACTTGTGATCCAGGTGCTAGCTCTGCAGTTTGTCCTATAATTACATTTTTGTCCTCTGTCTGGTGTTAATTGTCAGAGGAAATTAGCACAGTTGGCATGGATACATTTTATAGCACTGCTTGAAAGAAAACGAGATTGTTTGCTCCAATAAAACTACAATTTCTCCTGAAATGTCCTTAACCACTTATTACTTATTCCACATAGCTTTGTGTATGGCAATCATAAAAATCAGCTCATTCTGTGTAGGTTGTTATGATTGTGCAGGACTATTCCAGACTAAGGCTGATTGAAGGAGGGCTGAGGGAGTGTTGATGAGGACTATGGGGAGCTGTGAAGGAAAGGACAAAAATATGAGGTGGGGGTCTGTTGCTGCTGCTGGGGGAGAGACAGCATAGGAGGGAGGGCTGAAGTGTGAGGAGAAGAGGAGGAGGGATAGAGGAGTTCAGGGCATCAGCATACTGATAGATCTACGCCTGTAATGATTGCACAGTCACAGCCTCCAACTCCCCTGAGACGAGGCTGCATTCTATTATCCCTCAACCCCCCTGCCCTCTGTCTCACTGCACACCCCTCCACCCACACACACACAGACACACACACACACACACACACACACACACACACACACACACACACACAACCCTCTCTCCTGCAGGCTGGTAGCACTGCTTAGACAAAGAACAGAGTAACATAGGAGGGTTTTGTACACATGAGATGAGATAGATATCTGAACTATCTGAATCGTACATGCATTCCTTCTGAGAGACACGCGCGCACACACCCCCCCGGAGTCAACAGTATAATATGACAGCAAAATACAGGGCTATAAAAAGGCTAATAGCTCATACAAAGTCATATTTAATTGTTCTCTTTCAGCGTCGCTTGTTCGGCGTTGGTTTAGGCTCATAATGCTAAAATAAAAATGAACCTTGGAACCAGCATGAGGAAAAAGACCTCACAAGGTGGATTATCCCATAGATAACGGGCAGAACAGTCAAAACAAATATAACTAAAGTCCCTTCAACTTAAGGTAACTACAGTTTCACTTTATCTAGCCTATCCAGACTCAGAATATTCATAGGGCAGATTGAAGGATATTTTGCAAAAAGATAATGAATAAACATATTTCTGTCTTGTTAAAGTTGGGGTAAACTTTTGGTTTTGTGTATATGCGGAGCATTTTGTCTTTAATACAAATAATTACAAATTTCCCATTTAATCTCACTCCTACACTCGGTGCTCTGTGCTAATACCATATTCAATCCCCAATCCTTGTTAAAACAGTCCATCTAAAGCATTATTTACTGCTGGCTCAGAAGTGTCAGCATTAGCCTGTGTGTATCCATGAATGGTTTCAGATGCTCTTAATGTGTATGATTAATGGAAACCAAAGTTCAAATGGCATCACCGTAATTCTTTCAGACTGAAAGAAATACTCCACTAAATAAATGAGCAGACTGACCAGCAGCTTGAGGAGCCAGAAGCGTGATTTGTAGTAGCAGGTCTTGAAGGGGTTGATGAGGAAAAGCACCATGAAGCCATAAAGGATGAGAGGGTTGATCTGCATAGGGAGGTGGGTGTAGTCTGAGTAGAGACAGGAGAGGATGCTGAGACACCACAACACACCCAGGAAACCAGCGATCTGTAGCACAGAGAGGGGAAACAGAACATACTGGCATTACAAGAAAGCTCTTTTGACACATAATCCCAATTAACAAGGTAATCTGAATAATGCAGTCTAAATTACTTTGTGTTTTGTTTGTATAAATAAAACATTAGGCATGTATTGTTTCTGCTGAATGAAATGTATTTCTTGAATTTGGATTACCCTAATGATTTAACAATCTCATTCATTCTCATTTCATATCTTAAAAATGCATGATTATCAATCTAAAAACAAAGTTGGTTTTCTTCATTACAGAGAAAGGGGTTATTTTTCTGAGGACTCAGGGGTCTCATTCAGCAACAGAAATAATTGTTTCCATTTCTTTCTTCATTCTAACCTCAAACAGGTGTTGGTGTGAGAGGTTGTTGCGGGGATTGATCTCAAAGATGAGAACATGGTTGACTCCAGCCTGTCTCCATCCATAAGTGTTAATGCCCAACAGGAAGAGGAACTGGATCAACAGGAAACCGCCCCGATAGATCCGCACAAGAGGCCACACGTTCTCGTAGCGGATGAACACAGCACCTGACAAAACCACAGTAGAGTTTCTCTTTTTGAATATAAACTAGGAACGCTTTGACCGTCTGCTTGATGACAAATCTGAGGGAAAACAACAATGAAAGTCTGCCAGACATGCTCTCTATTAATCGTAAACAATCTACCAGTTATCTTTGACATATTACAAATTACGCAGGACTCAAAAGGATATGAAAAATGCATGAATTCAAATGGTCATGTGACTTACCAGTGAGAACAAAGGAGATGGCAAGAATGATAAAGAAGCCGCAGTAAAGACCCACGCGAAAGGTTGTCCACGCCAAAGCAGGCTGAGCAAGGTGAGGATGAACACAGAAAAACATTAATACAGACACCTGAAAACTGTATATATTAACAAGTTCAAACACACTGTACATGTATATAGAATCCAGTCATTTTCCAACTTCAGATAAAATAAAACTTCACGGGACAATAACCTATACACTGCATCTCCTTAATAAGCCGTGTTGGCTCCTTTCATCTGCTTGAATATATTTATAATACACGTCTGCAGGGAAAATAAAGAGATCAATAGTCACATAGCACAACTCAAGTCAGACATGACAGTAATTAATGCAGTAATAACGGTAGATATAACATAGGGGGGTAAAGTGCCACTAGCCTGAAAGATATCCTGTCTGTTCAACGATGGAAAGGCACTTATAAAATCAATACTGAAGGCTCTCACGGTTTCTCTCACTTTGTCTCTTCCCATCTTCCTTCCTGTCTCTATACCTCTCATGACAGTCTTCTCACATTTTGTTTTTAACCTGTGTTCACCACCAACAAAAAGCATGATTAGAGTAAGAGAAATGAAAAGATTATACTTTTCTTTTCTTTTACTTTTCTCAGGCACAGATACCAAATTTGTTCACAGGTAATTTAATATTGTGGGGATCTGGGAGATGTCTTATGTGATAAATATATATATATATATATATACAGTATATGTATGTATATGTATATATATATATATATATATATATATATGTGTATATATATATATATATATATATATATACACACACTTTGATACTTGGACACACATTTATTGTCATTTTGTCAATTTTTGTTAATTCATTTTAGTTTGCAGCCTCATTGCCTCCTTTGAAAATAAATTAAAAAAAACACAAACTGAGAAGGAAAAAAAGGGTTGATATAACTGATCTGATCAACTGATCTCCTCTGTGTCTGGAGACATTACTTTGCTTGAGAGGTTAGGATTAATCTTGAGAGGCTCACTAAGAGATATCACTTAGAGGTAACCAGTGTGAGCAGGATTCTGACCTGAGCTGCCCCCAGTGGAGGAACTCTCAACCTCTTCATGGCCCTCTGACGATCTCCTCCCTCCAGCTCTGTGGTGACGAGGGTCTGGACACACAGACAACACCCAATTACTTTCAGTGGTATGATTTTATGTGTGTGCGTGTGTGTGTGACAGAGCACGCACCTCTGTCTCAGAAATGAGCTGTGTGATCTTCTTGCAGGTGTAGAAAGGTGCCACCTCCACGTGAGCCACACGCCAGTCGGCCCCGCGAGGAGTATCCAGGATCTTGTCATGTTTCTTCAGGATTTTACGGAAACCAGTGAAGTTCAGATTCTGTGGATGCCAACAAAAAAACAACTGTCATATATCCATACCAGACAGGAAAACTTGTTCGAAATAAACTGCTGAAGGAGACATTAAGTGCAACACAACACACGTCTATGAACATTGTGATTATTACTCTCAAGACTGCTTCCTTCCTTCCTTCCTTCCTTGATACATTAACTGAGCATTTCTTTTAGGAAATTCTTCTCTCTAATTGAAATGAATTTATTTGTGTGTGTTTGTGTGTGCGCTGAAACCTGGTAGTTCTGGAGCAGGATGAGGCTGAGGTAGAACTCGCTGAAGGCTAGCTTCAGGTCCTTGATGTTGTGGTGTTTGCAGCGCTCCTCCTGTGACAGGTGGAACATCGTCTTGCGTTTGCGCAGGCCGGGCGGTGCGTTGCTCTCGCGCTGAGCATCCAGCGAAGACTGCAGCTCATTCTGCAGCGTGGCAAAACGTCTCTGGGCTTCAGCAAGCTTTTCTACAGAGGGCGAGATGAGAGGTTTTAGGTTTTGAGGGAAGCATTTTGCATTCTGCAACATAATCAAACATTTTGATATTGCACATAAACACACTTCAGAGCTGTCCAACTGAAGCCTTCTTCCTTTAACCACTGGAGTTCTAAATGACCTTTGTAGTCTGACCCAGCTAATTCATGTATTGTTGGTAACGACAACAATTGATAACAAGAGTGATTAAGAGAACAAGATTAAAATAAACTGCATTAATAAGCAGGGTTAATGCTGGTAAACAAACAGTTCCTTTGTGTTTTGGTAGTGTAATCATTATGCCCAAGGGAGGGAGGAAAGAAGACCCTTCACTTTGGCTCTTGTCTGACAAACAGCTGGAAAGAAATGTTAACTCTTCAATTTGACATCAATGATCTTGGCAGAGGACAGGTTTCTGTAATGAGCTGCAGAGAAGGTGGCAGCAAAAAAAAAAATTTTATACACTCCTCTCCCCTCCTCTCCCAGTGTCTGGAAGCAGAAACACGGAGACTATTAGGCTAAGCAACATGTAAATGCTGCACAGTGAGGAACCATTATCTGGGTCAGACATAGGTTAATATACCCACAGCAAGAGACAGAGAGAGAAGGGGGGGGGAATCACACAGGGCCTGAGCAGTAACCTGCATTTCATTAACTTCTCCTGCACTTCTTTTCTGACAGAGATTAGCCCTCATTCCCCCACTACTTTTCCTTTTTTTTAACCAATCAGAAGTCATTCCAGGTTCAGTCACTCACTAATGAAGCCCACATCTTTTCTTTCCCCATTGCTTTCTCCTTTGGTAAAGAATGTGTACTTAATGGTTAATTCAAAAGAGTTACACTACTTATTCTCCTTTAGTATAATTGTGTGGTTACTTCTTGTTTTATGAAACCTGCAAATCATGTCTGCTCCTACAAGTTCTTCCAGCTGGAGTAGAAACCAATAAAAAAACAGGCCTGGAGATTAGGCACGCTGATATTTCCTTGCAGTACTGTATGTGACAGCAGTCTGATAGCAAACCAAATCTGACTTGGTTTGAAGCTACCTGCCTGCCTGCTTGACAGTCTGGGGAACTGAGGCTCCAGTAGCTGTTCCTCCTCCTTAACTGAGAAAACCAGCAGTGGTGATGTGGAGGGCTCCCCTGGGGACCTGCACACTTTGTTGCTTGAACACACACCCACACACATATTTCCAGATATCACACTACCTGCCTCACAGAAATGCCATGGCTCTCCTTTGACATCTAAATATCACTGTTATCCTACTGGACTCGTACTGTCCGTCATAACAACGCAGGGATTAAGACCTGACAACAGCAGCAGGAGGCGTGAGAAAGTCAAGACTCTGACTGCCTGTCACAGTAGGTTTAGATTAAATCTGAGAATCTGGGAGTGCAGTGGCACTTAACAGCAGAGGACATGGCTGAACAGTTCATCTGTTTGGGGTTAATGAACCTGAAAGAGACAGGTGTTGGTGGTTGGTGTAGTTTTAATGGAGAACTTTAAAGAGCCTATTGTTCTTCCTCAGCTTTCAGAAACAGAGAGGATGAAAGGATATTGTGTTGAACCAGCGGACTGCAAAATAATCTCTTTTTGGTGTGTGTTTAACCCATGATGATGGAAGTGTTGTCCAACAGGCTGGATTTCAGTACAGCATGGCAGAATGGTTTTGAGAGGTCAAGGACCCCTTTCAGAGAGATATGGATGGAAAAAGCTATGTGGAACCAAGTGTCTTATGTAAAGTCAGCACACAATTTATCTCCATCTCTCCACTTGCGCCTTCTCATAACTGGCTTTTTCAAACCACACACACACAAACACACACACACACACACACACACACACACACACACACACACACACACACACACACACACACACACAGACATGAGTAACTGGCCTCAGATAGAGCTGCATGTTGGACAGAACTCTGTAATTTCTTGTTTCAGCCTCCTGTGTGTGGAGGATAAACAAGACGCCTCAGTGCAGGAAGTAGACACTAATGTTTTGATGCACAACATTTAACAAACCTCACACCTCCCATCTGCTGAGGAGGCAATGACTCACTCACTGTAATACTGATGTGATGTGACTGTGCTGTCAACATCGTACATCACATGTAGCATTGAATATATTAGAAATAACGATTATATGATTTTGTTCTGCTGTCTTTTTGTTCTTTTATTTATACTTTATTCATATTGACAGAAAATAACATGAGTGGATCCAAAAGACCCAAAACTATCACAGTTATTTACATATCAATATTGCAAAAAAAACTGCAATCACACCTTAATCTGCACACACTGATATGTCCTATGCAAATGAAGTACATTGTCGCTATGTGCAGTACATTATGGATCAGGATAATGAAGGACTACTTAATAAGACATGACCTTTGAAGCGAACTTTAATCTTCTGGCATATGTCAGTAATCAAGACTGTTGAAAAAAAAAAAAACTCAAGAGGGTCAAAGTTTCCTCAGTCCTTCAGTAAATCAACCTCCTGCTAACAAGGCCTGCAATGATTTATGCCATGTTTCTCTACTGCTGTAGTCATTCATCTGCCAGTAATATGCCATCATTATGAGCTAGAACAATCTTGCCAGTCAGCCTTGGCCCTCTGTTGACCTCAAGAGCCTGCAGTTCCACAAACAGCCTCTAGAGGAGGCACTCTCTGTCTTTAGATACCCAAATTCCCCCTCCAGCTGGAGTTCAAGACCAGAAGGCAACCTTGTGGTAGCAGAATACGAGAATATATTATGGCTTCCATCTCATGTTACATGGCACACATACTCCCTCGCTCCCTGAAATACACACAGGCAGGCCTGCTCCCCTAAACATGACTAACCACTGGCTACTTCAATCATATGACCAAGGTTAGACGCAATGTCATTTGGCACTGAAAAAGGTAACACATCTCTCTTAAACTCAGCAAAGAGAAAATAAACTGTGCACAAAATATTGTGCAACAACCTATCATAGTCTTTTAATCAGTGGTCTATACAATGTATTATTATACAGCTCATGCAAAATTGTTACAAGGCAGAAATAAGTTAAACTAAATTGAGGCCCAGAGTGTACTTGCAAATGAAGAAAATCTGCAGTCTCATCAATCACACTGATATTGACTCATTGTTGTTACAGATAATTGATTAGCACAGTCAATACAACAGCTCTTCTGATAATCACACTGCAAGCTGTTTCAGTTATTTCATCTGAAAATGAATTTCTCAGTTGACTCTGATTTGATATCGTCTGCATCAATCACTTCCTCAGGTTTAATTGGAATCAATAAATACCTGAATAGAATGTGTTGATTTTCAGGAGCTCCTTCTCACAGGTCTGGAAAAACCGCTCCTCAAACTTGGCGTAGTATCTCTTCACTGTGTCTTCATCTGTGACTGGACAAAAAAAGAAAACAGACAGAAATTGTGATTATCTGTTTGCCTCCAGAAACAAATATACCTGTAGGTACTACTATATACTATGTGTAAATATGTAAAGCATTTATATTCTTGCTCCACCCACTTAAGACTTTTTTGATTATGTTGCTCTTTCCTGTGATTCCCTTTCATTACGTTACACATTGCTCACACATTCGGTAGCTGATAAATAATGCCAAAGAGCGGTTTATATTGTGATGAGAAGCACTGATCGATGAAGCCATGTCAAAGCTTTCTCTAAAGGATGGATCCTGGTCCTGGATGTTCCTGTTCTCCTGCTGCTTTCAGATTTTTGGTCAGAAGTCTTCTTAAAATGTTAGTTTACTGTCAAAGAAACATGGAATCCAAGTAGATTTACTGCAGCTTAGTGCAGAGTCTTAATTTTCAATAATGAAGGAAACGTACTGTTAAACAGTTCAAATAACAGTTACACGATCTTAGTAATTAAGTTGGTAGTTGAATGAAAAAAGTATTTGCATGTAAGTGAAAGACTAACTTATATAGCAGTATTAAAGTGTTCAAATCTATAAGCATAGGATAAAAGCTAACAACTTAATTCATTAATACAAAAGCAAATTTCATAACTGTGAATGATGTTGCCTACTATCAGTTAACACAGTGTAAGCAATTACTAGATTGAGCTAAGGCGATATATAGTTGCTTATTTTGGTGTCTATGTTCTGTGATGTAATAGTTGTCCTAACCAACTCTGCCAATCTTGCAAAAACTTATTCCTGTAGGTGTGTTCCTGTAGGGTTTGTCTGTACCACGGCGAACAGACATCCATTCAGAGTTACAATTAGATCAACAGCTTCCTCTCGTCTCTCTTCTGTCTGACAAAACCCTGAATGTCTTATTCAGGACCAGCCAATTCAATCAGCATTGATGCTCTGTCTCAAATAATCCTCTGCCTGATTCACAGCAAGCTACCTGACACCTGACAGAAATTGAAATGTGGAGCACTGATGAGGCCCATATACTTTGCATACACACACACACACACACACACACACATACAAACATGATGAATCTCCTTTGTTATGGTCACACATATGTAATATGCTCTAAACATGATTGCTTGTCAGTTCAGTTCTTTCATCTTCAGTTCATGCATCTTAAAATTACCTTTGAAAACACCAAGGCAAAACAATTTGATGCTAATAACAACCAGGTGTAACAGTTCCCTGCGAGATCAGACACATTTATCAAATATCATATAGTGATTCATCTAGAGCATGTACCTTTCATATTAATTACATCAATATTTGACATTTTAACATTAAGACCTGCAGCGTCACGAGTACCTAAATGTCAAATGAAGATTCATTCCAAGTAGCATCAAGAGAGATGTGGGTTTCTTCAGGATAACTGTCATATGGTGTCAGAGCCAATGCTGATACCACTTTGTAAACATTAGCTATTATATAAAGTGAACCCTGGCTACAAACTCGTAGATGGAGAGGCGTTCTATTCAACACAGTCATAAGAAAGAGATGCCTTAGGCAGCAGCCTGCCAATATCACAGCTCTATTCACACACAACCACAGAAACACACACATATAAAGCTAAATTTGCAGCAGGGGTGTGTAAACCTCTGATGAAAAGGTGAAAATATGTTTGACAGAGTCCAACAGCTTTACAAGGAAAATAAATGAGAAACTGCATCCTCATCTATTAATCAATTAAAGGTTAATTAAACAGTGAAAATACTGTACAGCCTAAAGTATACCTCTGAAGGACAAATCCTGTGGAGCATGAGAAATTTCCTACAGGAGATGTATGAGAACTGATGCATGTTGGTAAAACTCTGCGTATATCAAAGTAGTGCTCACTAAACATTCAAAACAAGATCATTACAGTAATGACAAAAGCTGAAAAATTGGCCCGTATACAGCTAACATTGCTTTACGAATAAACATGTAGTTTGCAAATAAGAGAAAATGTCCACTTTAGAGCAACAGTGACTTTATCTGGAGTAAAGAAGTGAAAGCCAGGAGAGACAGAGAGACAGAGGACAAGGAAACAGAGCTGTTGTAGTAGATGGGGTACAGATTCCGTGGTTTGGACTGAGAAAAAGTGCAAACTACAAAACAGAAAAAAAGAAAATGATGTATACGCTGCATATAAAGGAAAAAAAACAGGTAAACTGCTGGGAACAGTCCAGTATGAACCAATTACAGTAGGAAAAGGCATGAAAAGAACAAAATCATGAATGAGGGAGATGGAAAAGCAACTAAGTAGGAAGAAAAAAGACATAAGGAGGATGAAAAGATTCATCTACTAAAAGAAGTGAAATGTAGACAAACAAAGAAGAGAGAGAAACAGAGAAGGAAGCAGATGGTCTCCAATCTGCTTTGCACTTCTGCCCCATTGCGCAGTTCAGCTGCAGTCACAACTCCTTCAGCCTTACAACCTTGCAGAGCTCAGCCGCCTCAGCACCTTCCAGCTGACGGGCCGACTGGCTGGCTGCATGGATGGACGACTGTCTGTATGGAGGGATGCGTGCTTGAACTTGGAACTTGACTGGCTAGCCGCTAGCAGGTCGACTGAATGACTAGTTAGTGTGTCATGACAGAATGACTAATGGTCCAATACGCTCCTTCAGTTAGACCGGAGCAGCACACTGAGTTGCATTGTAACTCAAAGTAAAAGGTTACGCTGCTAATGAACACTTTGTAAGAAAGAGCACTAAAGGATAGACACACAGAATTGCAGGAGGGAAACATCAAGACGCAGTTAGTGAACTGTGGCTGATTTAACATCTACAGTATGTTTCCTATGCACCAAACATTACGTTTAAAATAAATCTGATAATGGTCACTTAGCATTAAAAATTGATCATGAAAATAATTGTCATTCAATAGCTGCGGCCCTACTGTTGAAATTAACCACCTGACGTAATTTAATCAGGTGAAAGAAATACATTTTTAGCATTTCTTTTCTGGAAATGCCAGGTGCCATTTGATCCCAAGCAGAAGCAGGAAAATGTCAACAGCATTACCTGCAATTTGCGAGGTTACATTTCTGAGTTTGTGTGGTTTTCTGATTTAATTGTCAATCGCTACATTACATTTGCAAGGATATCTTTGATGAATATTTATTTTGAGAAATTTCTCCCACCTGGATACTGACTAACAGATTGAGTGTGTTGGTGGGGGTGGAGTTGTGTTGGATGAAAGTGTAGATGTGAGGGCAGTTTGCAGGTAGAAGAGGGGTTATGAAATGGCCCTGCACCCGCGCCTCTTTGTTTCCCACTGACCTGGTGCACTGCTGAACACACCAGTGTAGGTGTGTATGTGTATTTCCACATATCAATCAATGCACACGCATCTGCTTTTGTTCATACACTTATGTGCATGAGGCATGTGAAGTGTAAGAACAAAGGAAGAGCCAGTCCTCACAGTGGGGTTTTGCTAAAATCTCTACAGCTGCTGAAACAATTCTGTCATCTATCTCGCCTCAAACTGCCACACACTTTACCATCATCCAGCATTAGCACAAATGAGCGTCATTAGCATCTCATAATTACATTGTCTCAATTCTTTATCTGCCTCCTAAGATGAGCTGAACAACAGCATAGATGCAATGAAATCTAATTACAAAAATAAAAACTGTAGTCTGTAGTCAGGCAAGAAACGTGGCATGTAGTGTATCTTTAATTTAATCTATGGTGCCAGTGTTCCTGTAAATCGGACAGCTTTTCTTTCAGCCACACAGTATGGGTTCTCATTATCACTTGTCGCAGTAGATGACAACAGAGATGGCTTCACAGGGTCCAACAGTGTTCACCAAAGGGATTCGAAGGTAGAGAAAAGTTTGGACATCGTGGGAAATGAGAACTTAAACAGAGTGACAGAACAGAAAATCTTTAGTATTCTCCTAAATCAAGAAATGAGTTGTTCCATAAGAATATACATGCAAATCTGGTGCAAATCCAGTAGGATCACTTTCTCCATGCTAATTACAGACACCAGAGCACAGACAAGACCCTCCTACCCATTCCTCTAGCCATGTTAAAAGGTCTCCTGCAGTCATAGATGCTCTGGCATTTGTTTCATGGTGTGTGTGTGTGTGTGTATGTGTGTGTGTGTGTGTGTGTGTGTGTGTGTGTGTGTGTGTGTTTGTGTGGCCAAGAGATGATGATGGAGCACTTCAGTAGGGAATAATGGTTCTGTCCCTGTAGGGCTATGGTGATATATGCCTCTGCTTACTCTCTCTCTCTCTCTATATGTGTGTGTGTGTGTGTGTGTGTATTTAAACTGTGTGCTTTGGACAGTACTTTAGAACTGACACTTCAAATGTCACTGTAACCCTTAGCTTTCAAATAACTACATGGACCTATTTAGTATGTGTGAGGACATTTTGACAGTAACCAATATCTTTCTGTATCCGACCAACCAGGGCTGAGAGTCTACAGCAGCTGAAGGGTTTTCATTTTGTTCTGTAGCTCTGTATGACCTCAGAGGAGCTGCAGGAGAGTTTAGTCGACACCGGACTGGTGGTGCACTGTTCCACTGTGCAGCGTTGATGCACAGACAGGGAAGGGTCATCAGGAGGAGGAGCCTTACCTGCGACCTCATCACTTAGGTCAACATGTAAAGTATATGAAGCAGCATCTGGATAAGCCAGAGTCATTTTGGAGTGCGGTGGACAGTTACATTTAAGTTAAAATTGAGCTCCAAAATCACCAAAGGTGTGTTTGTAGAAAAATGGAGCAGCACTTGATGAAAAGAACAACTTGGTAACTGTTAAGCACGTGGTGGTGGAGGAAATATTCTGCTTTGGGGTTGTGTATAGCAGCCAGAGGTACAGGAAACATTGCATAGATAGAGGGAAGAAGGTATTCCATAGTGGTGTGGGGCATAAAAACTAACTAACTAGTGCATGTGAAGAACTGCTGATCTTTTTAATGTCTGTCTGCAGGGGCTGCATTTACTTCTTTTCATTTCAAAAGTATA